TTACCGTAACCCATGAAAAATTGTTGAGGACTTTTTGACTATAATTCGATGGTGATGGGATATAGTCAGAAAAATCATATTTTTCTCTCAGTGTGGGTGTCAGGCAATGAGGGTCATATAAGGGCTGAAAACGGGGATCAAGCATAATATGTGACTTATATTTAGACCCTCATTGCCTGACACCCACTTTTTTCACTTTTATCTTCTGACCCTAATGTTTTGACCCAAATATTCTGACCCTCATTTTTTAACCTGCGCTTTTTGACCCTTATATTCTGTCACTCAGTGCCTGACCCTTATATTACACTTAACAGCGCTTGCTACAACCCGGCCTGATGCAAAACAAGCATCTTCGAATTGAAACAGCCATCCCCCAATTGAGTATAAAATATACTATGGAATCAAGTATGTTTTACAACTTTGTTCTCTGTTTGTAATTCTTTGACTAATTAAAGTACAAAAAACTGCATTAATGAACTCATTCATAAATTTCATAGTAAAAAAATTGATAAGAGCAGAAACTGAATGATTCATTAATTAAATAATGTTTCAAAAATCCAGGACAAGTTGTTTTAATTTTTTCTTCATTGTCTCTGTTTGTAATTCTTGGTCTAATTAACGTACAAAGACTGCATTGATGAACTCCGCAAGCAATGATCTGCTGATTAAATTATCGATTAATGTATCAGAAATGCAATAAAAATACGTTTGCATTTGTTTGTCATTTTCTCAGTTGGTCATTCTCTGACTAATTAAAGCACAAAAGACTGCATTAATGAACTCATTCATGAATTTGATAACAAAAAAATTGATAACAACAGAAACGTAATGATTCCTTAATTCAATTATTGAATAATGTTCGAAGCTAATAATAAAATTCATTTCTTCTTCATCTGTGTGGAAAAAAATCCTGCAATTCATTAGTGCACAAAAGACTGCATTGACGAACTCATTCATGAATTTTATAATAAAAAAAATGATGACAATAGAAGTTGAATGCTTCATTAGTTCATTTATTAAATGATATTTGAACCTCGTAACAAAATGAATTTCTTCTTCATCTGCTGTTTGGAAAAAAAATCATCCATTTTTTAACGCGAAAGAGACTGCGTAGAGTAATTCATGAAGTCTACATTAAAAAAAATATCAACAAAAAATCAATGATTTGTCGATTAATATATCGAAAAATGCATCAATATTCATCAAAATCGAGGGTCATATAAGGGCTGAAAACGGGGATCAAGCATAATATGTGACTTATATTTAGACCCTCATTGCCTGACACCCACTTTTTTACTTTTATATTCTGACCCTAATGTTTTGACCCTAATATTCTGACCCTCATTTTTTAACCTGCGCTTTTTGACCCTTATATTCTGTCACTCAGTGCCTGACCCTTATATTCCACTTAACAGCACTTGCTACAACCCGGCCTGATGCAAAACAAGCATCTTGGAATTGAAACAGCCATCCCCCAATTTAGTATAAAATATACTATGGAATCAAGTATGTTTTACAACTTCGTTCTAAGCCCTTGAGCAACTTCATCACAATTACGCACTGATGCTCACCCCGGATGAACCGCTAAAACCGTCCCCTCAGCAATAAATATTTACCTGAAAAAAGCCATTAAACTGTGTACCGAGTACTCACGTGAGCGCCAATGCTTAGGCGGTTGTCCATGACGGGTAAGAGGGCCTTTTGCGATCGGTGTCGAGCAGTCCGGCCGCGTGTGCAGTTCAAGTCAGTTGCATTGCATAAGCGTTTTGCCGCGGTCTGACTCCCGCAGGCTCCAACCATTCCATTTCGCCTTTTGTTGTCATGCACAGTGAGTTTGTGCGGTAAAATCGGTTTTTTCGTCTCACCATTTGTGGAAACGATCTCCACTTCACGAATGTCCCGGTCAGTTTCGAGGAGAATTCGTGAGTTTAGTGGTCATTATCATCGGCTTCAAAGACTTTCAAACTGGTTTCTTTGGTTTTATTTGTGATTTATGTTATGAATTGGGAGTTTTGTTTATTTTCGCCGACCATCGGAGCACGTCATCTCGTTTGCATTCCACGGGGGAGATAACAGGCTCTTATCGCGAGATTTATCGGTTGAATTAGTGGAAGTGAACTCCAGTTAATTTCATTATGAGATTTTTTTGAATGAATTAGTCGATAATCTAATTGATGATTTATCGGTTTTTGGTTGAGTTCAGATTTTTATTTGTATCTCATACAGAAGTTCGTTAATGCAATACTATCGAATAATTTTTGCGGGATATCAGGGAATTATTAATTGTGTTTTTTTGAGTAATTATTGCTTCACTTCATTTCTTCGGTTGAGATTCCCTCGTTTTCTTCAATGGACATCTACATATCAGACAATTCCATTGAAAGAAATACTTTTTATTAATATGAGTTCGTTAATGCAATTGTGTCGAATCAATTGTCGTGAAGTAATTCATGTGAAAATTCAGTAGTGAAGCGGCACAACAATTCAAGTCGATTTAAGCTTCAACCGAATTTTTTAGGAATATCTTCGAATCTAAGGGAGATAACAACATTTTCATAATAACCTTTTTTATAGAGTGAATGGAGGACTATAAAAAAAGTTTTAACAAAAAATTTGCTATCTCCCTTAGATTTCGAGATATTTAGTGAAAACTGGGCAGTAGTCAAAGTCGATTTAAAGCGTTTTATCGTTTCGCTATTGAATTCGTAGTTCTGCTTTTTCTAATATTCTTTTTTTGCTGTATCGTGATGAAGTCGCCTGATTTGATACACGTTCACATATTACAATCTGCACATCACGTGGTTTGTATGTGGCGCGAGTAGTCATGAGAGATGACGCGCCGGGGGAAAATGTGGATCGAGGAAATAGAGAAAATGCGGGAAAAAGAATTTAATTGCGATTTTGATGAATATTGATGCATTTTTCGATATATTAATCGACAAATCATTCATTTTTGGTTGATATTTTTTTAAATGTAGACTTCATGAATTACTCTACGCAGTCTCTTTCGCGTTAAAAAATGGATGATTTTTTTTCCAAACAGCAGATGATGAAGAAATTCATTTTGTTACGAGGTTCAAATATCATTTAATAAATGAACTAATGAATCATTCAATTTCTATTGTCATCATTTTTTTTTATTATAAAATTCATGAATGAGTTCGTCAATGCAGTCTTTTGTGCACTAATGAATTGCAGGATTTTTTTCCACACAGATGAAGAAGAAATGAATTTTATTATTAGCTTCGAACATTATTCAATAATTGAATTAAGGAATCATTACGTTTCTGTTGTTATCAATTTTTTTGTTATCAAATTCATGAATGAGTTCATTAATGCAGTCTTTTGTGCTTTAATTAGTCAGAGAATGACCAACTGAGAAAATGACAAACAAATGCAAAAGTATTTTTATTGCATTTCTGATACATCAATCGATAATTTAATCAGCAGATCATTGCTTGCGGAGTTCATCAATGCAGTCTTTGTACGTTAATTAGACCAACAATTACAAACAGAGAAAATGAAGAAAAAATTAAAGCCACTTGTCCTGCATTTTTGAAACATTATTTAATTAATGAATCATTCAGTTTCTGCTCTTATCAATTTTTTTACTATGAAATTTATGAATGAGTTCATTAATGCAGTCTTTTGTACTTTAATTAGTCAAAGAATTACAAACAGAGAAAATAAAGACAAAATTGAAACAATTTTTATTGCATTTTTGGAGCATTATTCAATAATTTAATAAGCCAATCATTGATCTGCGGATAACAACAATTTTTTTCACATAAATTTGCTAAACGAGTTCAGTAGTGCAGTCTGTTGTTCGTCAATTAATCAGAACATTGTTATTTCTAAAATTTCTATTGAATTTTTTTTATCTAAATAACAATTTTTTTCTTTGTGGTGAATTTATCATTGATACATTCACGATGTTTACACCACACAGCTTGTGTTTCGCGGTGGTGGTAATAGAAAATGACTCGCCAGGCTGAAAATATATCGAGGAAATACAGAAAATGACAGAAAAAGGTTTTTTATTGCGATGTTGAAGCGTCGAAGGTCGGAGATCATTGTTATCAGTGATTCTTTCTTATAAAATTGACAGTTATTTTCTCTTTCTCTCTCCCCCTTGGTTTATCTCGCGTGCCTGGTGCTCCAGATAATCGTGGGATATATAAAGCAATTCCCGGGGATTTCATTAGGGCGATTTCGCGGCTGGGGAATAACAGGAGGATCTTTCTGTTTTCTACGTTATTTACGATTTCACAATTCCCGCGGGGGTAAGTAGTAATCCGTGTCGGGTACGGGTGAGGCGAATTGCATCAGTGGACCAATCACGTGGGGTCTTCAGGTCATTGTATTATATACTGGGAGAAACGACGCATTTGAATCGAAAGGAATTCTTTGAATTTTTTTCGTTCATTTCAACGAAATGAAAATTAGTGAACTTGATTATTTATTTCGATACACATTTTTTTAATTATTAAAATAATTATTTAAAATAATTTTGAGGGACTTTTATTGAAATTTTATCAAATAATTCAATTGTTTTTTGCGCTATTAAAGTGAATACATGAATCAAAGTCAATAGATTTTTATTTTTCTAGAGAAATTTTTAGCTATAAATTTGAAAATTTTAAGTTTTTTCCAGTGTATTTTGATTTATTTCTCATAACAAAATCTGAAGAAAACGCGTAACAAATTAATGCACGAGACAAAGTCCAAACAGAATGAGTTATGCAAAATGAGAGTCAGAGCCAGAATGAGAGTTATGCAAAAAAATAAATATTGATCAACTTATTATTTAAATTTTTTTTTGAAAAAACGCGCAACAAAGTTGCGTATTTTTTATAAAATTAATGCAAAAAAAAAACATTTTTTCGCAGAAGTCAATTCCGTAAATGAAGTGTTAGTTTAAGTTATTTAACTTTTTAAAAGATTTATGTAAAGAATTATAACACTTTTTTATGTAAAGAATTATTAAATATTGAAAAAATCGTTTGAATAAACCCATTCATTTGATTTAAGTAAAATTTCCATAATTAAAATAAACTATTTCTTTGTGTCTAATTTAAATTCAAGTGGTAATTCTTCCTTGAATTTAGTTTTCTTTTTCAATCTTCGGAAGGAGACATGTTTTATCTCGCTTGCGCAGAAGTTATTGTACATTATCATTTCCTTTGTTGTGGAGAGAGTATTGTCCAGTCCATAACGAAGTGATGAAGCACATCAACTGATACGAGAAGAATGAAAATGTCAGATTGTTTTATGACTACCTGAGAAACTATCGGATTTAGCAGGGCACAAATGCAAAAAGAATTATCAAGTGTTTTCGAAAATAGGGAAGCGACCAAAAGATAACCGATTCCAATTTTTTGACTATTCTATAATTAAAGTAGAACTATTTTCTTTACTTGTATAATACGAATTGTATTGCTAATTTCATTTGTTGATAATGGCACTAATCTATAATTATGCGATTATTTTTTTTTATTGTTAAACGTTTTTCATATATTGATCTACTAATCCAATGATCTACTAGATATTTGTGCTCATCTGTTTGTCCAATGTTTGTACTCCAAATAATTTTCGTTCCATACTTAATACATTTAATTAGGTACAGAACCCATAATTGGCGCATTGGGGAGATTTATTTACTTTTGATTGAAAAATTCAAGGGTTTTGATTCATAATTTAGTTATTATCTCTTAGTCATAAAAGAAATCTCTCAACTGGAGAATCTAGTGATTTATGAATGTAAATGATTATTCAATTGTCTTTATGTTTGAAATAAATTCTCTACTTTTTTGTCGTATTGTGAAGTTTAAAAATAAACTTTTCATCGTTTCGTTGAATAATTTTCTATTACTCGAAGTCACTTACGTCATCTGTGGTCTCTTTGTCTCGTTCCTCAGAAGAAAATTGGCGAACAATTTCAACACAGAAAAATGAGCAGTCTCCCGGGAGAGGCTTTTATCCAGAAAAAAAAGAGAAATTATATAATTTCGTCTGAAAAGGTCATTTTTATTACGTGCGGGAGATTGCATCAGGCAAAACGGGAAATTACAATAATTTAAATTAGCTGTTTACTTTTTTATTTCAATTTTAGGAAATGTTGAGGCATTGAGGGGCTTCTAGACTGTCAGGGGATTGAGGACTGAATGTGAGGGAATATTTTATGCTCGTCAATTATTTGTCAAGCGATGGAATCAATTGCAGGAACTGAAGAATCAATAATTTCGTTCCGAGGTCAGTTTTTGGAGAATATCCTGGAAGGGACGGGAGTAGTGAATTTTTCATGAGGACATTTTGTGTAGAACTTAATTCTTTCCACAAATAACAAGTTTTGACACAAAACTGCAGAGAAAATTTCAAAAACTGATTTCATTGTCTGTTTGTGATTCTCCAAACGAGTTATAGATTTTTTCACTGATATTTTGATGTTTTAATGGAAAAATTAGAAAATGATCATACAATGCTAAAAATTTTCCACTGAAATTTCCGATAAGAGTCGTGGAAATTTCTGATAAGTAACATGTCCACTGAAGTTTCAGGGAATTTTGTCACTGAAAATTCCTAATTACACGGAAAAATTGGTATGAACAGTAAATTTCAGTTAAATTATTCCGGGAAAATTATTGGAAAATCAGGAAAATTCTGAGAAATCCGGAGTTCAAGAAGAGAGGTTTTTATTCAGAGAAATCTGGAATTCAGGAAGAGATTTCTCTGAATTTTCGTCAAATTTCTTAAAAAATTGCCGCAATTCCTTAGAAATTCAAGGGAATTTTGCAGGGAATATTCCATTCCACCTGAAAATTCATATAAATTGTGAAATTTCCGTCTTCCTGCCACGCAAAATTTGGGACTTTATTTGAATTTTCAGAAAAACTTGAAATTCCATCGACTTTTTTTCCGAATTCAAGGTCTCTTTCCGGAAAATTCAGCCAAATTTACGTGACAGTATACCTTCACTACCCCTAAACCAATTGAAAAATAACGCAAAAAAACACCATTAATTGCAGTTGAGAATTGCATGACAGGATTAAATACATTGCATCGTTTTTTTATAGAATTGACATGAAAAACACATGATTATTTTTGTCATTCCGGTCGTGAAGCGCTGCCTCACGGCCGTCATAACAAAAAATACTGTTCGTCATACGGCCAAAAAAAACTTTTCTAGCTCATATGATTACAGCCCTTGCCTTCGGATCGGGCTGCAAACTCATATTCGCCAGAAAAGTTTTTTTCGGCCTAGTGACGAAATAGACTATTTAAATAGAATTCTAGTAGAACCCCTATCGAATTCCGTATGAAAAGTGGTACGTTTTTCTACTGAATTTTTTCGCACATAGATCCATGTCAAGAATTATTACATAAATAATTCATTAACCAATTACTTCATTTTTAATTAATGTATGGGATTCTATAGTCTTTATTTGGATTACGTAAACATTTTTTTATTAAAAAAAAAAACTAAACCTCATTTATCTCTTCAAAAGAAGATTTCATAAACATTTGGATATCAAAAAATTTATCTCCTCCAATAAATAATTAATTTTGTATTAATATTCTCAATACGTAAACGGAATAAAAATTGAATCTTGGTTTGAAGGTCATTCCAGTGACAGGACAAATTGGAAAATTATCATACTAAGATAATGTGCCAGTAACTATCTCCTACCAATTACAAAATAACGTGAAAAAAAAATCAAAATTAATTGCTGTTCAGAATTGCATGACAGGCTCAAATAGTAGTGAATAATTCTATTCCTTTTCTGCGCTCATTCTATAAAAGATCGTGGAATTTTACTGCGTTATTTGATAGAAAAAAGTCAAAAAATTTTGATTTCGGCATACAAATTCCCAGACATGAATTTACAATTTTCAGGTTTTTTCACGGTATTTTGATTCATTTCACATGATAAAATGCAAGAACGAAAAGTAGGAAAATTACTGCCTAGGAAAAAATCTTAACAGGAAGAGTTGTATACAAAAATAAAAATTTATAGGCTTTTTTCTACGAAAAATATCTATTTTTCAGAATATTTATGAAAAAAAAATTTTTTTATAAAACAAAAGATTCTTTTAAATTCCAATTCTACTAGAGCCTTAGTAGAATTCTTTAAAGAGAAGTAATAGGTATTTCTATTGAATTTTTTCATACGCGGATCCACATAAAGAATTATTACATACATAATTCACTAATCAATTATTTTATTCTTGCCTAATATCTTAAACCTTACAGTCTTTATTTGGATTATATCAGTAGCGAAGTGGTAAAACGGTACAAGTCAATTTTGACTGCTGACCAGTTTGCAATGAATATCTCGGAATCTATGGGAGATAGCAAAATTTTTGTTATAACCTTTTTTGTGGAGCCGATTGAGTGCTACACTAAATGTAATTATGAAAATTTCGCTATCTCCACTAGATTCGGAAATATTCCTCGAAAACTCAACTGCGAGATAAGTCGACTTAAACCCTTTTACCACTTCGCTACTGATATAAACACATGTTTATATTTGAAAAAACTAAACCCGCTCAAAAGGGGATTTCAAAAATTTTTCGATCTCGAGAAATTCATCTTTTCCAGTCAATGATTAATTTTATATTAATATTCTCAATGTATAAACGTAATAAAAATTAAGTGATAGTTTGAAGGTCATTCCAGTGACAGGAAAAATTCGAAAATTATCACACTAAGATAATCCGCCACTAGCTATCCCCTAGCAATTACAAAATAACGTGAAAAAAATGAACATTAATTGCAGTTGAGAATTGCATGACAGGATTGATACTCATGTCCACGTCTCGAGTGGTAAAGTGGGGAGAAAACTGTGGGTAAATATTTTTCAATCAGCCTATGGATACGACAAAGTGCAGTCGAGTGTGGCTTCAAGTGGTGCATGCGGATTCGATTGAATCACGTAACTGAACGTTTTGAAAATAGAAAGAAGAACTCGAAGGATAGAATAATTCCACTGGAAAAAATCTCGAGGGGAGACAGAATGTCTGACATGAATGCGGGAATTTTGAGGCTGAAGAATGGAGAGAATCTAGAGAAGAACCAACTGTACAATAAAAAAGATGGGTGAGGAAAACAATTTCATAAGCATTTATTCATGAAAATAACTCATCGATGAGCGATTTTATAACATGTCCGAAGGGAATTCGATTACGAGAATTTTCATCACGTAATCAGCAAAGTATTTTCATTTTTTAATTAATGTAGCTCATTTCAATTGTTGAATTATGAAGATCATAAGACCTTCATTGTAAGAAAAGAGAATGGAATTTCATAGACATTTGACTTGTACTTTTCAAAAGATTCACATTGAGTTCAATTTTTAGGGAAAAACCTATCTTAAAATTTGAGATAATTCAAAATTTTTTTAATTAATTGCTGAATTTTTCTGATTGATATCAATTCTCATGGAATAATTGAACTAAAAATTACAGTTTTAATTTTTTTTAGTTTAAATTTTCGAGTTTCAATGACGAAATTCTTTGTAATTTCAGGGAAAATATCATGTGATGAAAATGTTTAAGAAGTTTGATGAAATTTATCTAGCATAAACAAAGTTTTTCAACATTGTCTATCGAAGTCGTTGATTACGAAGTATAATTAACAAAGAATTCTGACGTAATGATTGGTTAAGTTGTCTTGAAAATGGAAACAGCAAAAAAAATGTCGAGAATACTTTTTTTAGCTAAAAAAAATGCCACGTGATATCTGTCCTTGAGATAAATGCATAATTGAACCGGTTTCCTCAATCGCCTTTATACTTTTCTTTAATTATCTTCGTCTATATACTAAAAATCGATTGATGTCCTCTGATTATTTCTCCTCAGAACCCAGAACAATCATTGACATCAATTTCTCCCCCCCGCTATTACCCAAGAATGGGATAAATTCGTTGGCAGCCAATAAATCTCGAATTGCAGATCGATAAATCGATAAAAATTATCCATCAAAAACGTTAATCATGAAGCAGAATTAACAAAGAATTCTGCTTCAATTATTCGTTAAATTTTTTGAAAAACGGAAACGCAAAAAACAAATTTCGAAAATTATTTTTTTAGCTGTAAAAAATTCCACGTGATACTCCGATTATGTATTCATCTCGAATAAATTCATAATTGAACCGTTTTCCTCAATGGCCTTTACGTTGTTCCTTCAATTATTCTCGCCGAAATATTAAACATCGATTAATTTCCTCTGATGACATCTCCTCAGAAGCCGGAATCATCATTCACATCAATTTTCCCTCCCACTATTACCCAAGAATCGGATAAATTCGTTGACAGCCAATAAATCTCGAATTGCAGGTCGATAAATCTGGAGAAACCTTTGATAGACGCTAAAAAAATTGACGAAACGGATGACATTGAGAAAATGTACGAGTCAATGTTGCTTGTGCACGATAATTCAACAAAAACACATGAAAAAACCGAGATATTCGAGGATGCGCTGAATGAACCATTGAACTTAAACACGGATGAAAAACTCGACGAGGAGGAACTCGACCTGGACCTGGAGGAACCACCACCGCCGGAGGTGTTGGAGTATGCAAGACGAGAACTGGGCGAAACGGACGAGGTCAAGTGTCAGACTCTCGACGAGCTACGCGACATGATTTACGGTAATTATCGCTGGGTATTAACTACAGTGAAATTGCCTCGTGGTACTATCATCAAATGGAATTTGAATATTAGATCTATTCGAGGGGCATTCAAATGTTACGGTACTGAGAGAAAAAATTAGCTCTGCCGAAAAACCAGTAGAAATTAGCCAACTTGATACGCGGAGAGAAATATTCAGCAAAAATTACCGAACAATCCACGTAATCCGCAATGGGGAATAGTTTCCCGGCAATTGTTATAGGAATGGAAGAGAATAAATCTAAAGCGTTCAGTGGATTCTCGGGTTCATCACCGAACCAAGTATGAAATTGTCACGTCATTTTTTCCGAAGAAGTAAAATTTTACAGAAACTTACTGACTTAGTATGCCTTCATCATCAACAATTCTTGAACGTTCAACAATTTTTATGAAGCGGATAAGTTATTTTTGCGTTCCGTTCCGTAAAATTTCTCAATACTTGGGGAAAAATTACGGAACGACTTATCCCCACAGCGGTGAGTCGTCAGACGGGTGGTTAATTCTTACGGAACAACTCGTGAAATTTACGCGGCGATTCGTACAATTTCAGTTCTGACTCACACTTTTTATTGAATTTTACTTCGCGGATTACATTTCGAAACGTAATTTTCACGTTTTTTTTCTGGTAATTTTTATTGAATTTTTCTCTCCGTGTGCGGAAAAACGATATGTTCCACGTGAGAATATTTGATACAGTGGAACAGATTTACTTGAGGGAAATTAATCAACTTGATAGAAGGAAATTTGATATCTTTCACAAAAATCAAATTTTTGTCGTGATCATCAGAAATATCTGTAGATGAATTCGAACTGTCCACAGGAAAAAATATAATCTATTGTACAACAATCATTTGATCTGAGAGAACTCCATAGGAAAGAATATTTTTGACCCAAAAAAATTGTCCCCTCAAAATTATTTAGTTTTGTCAAGAACTGTTTGACACGGAGCGTGCGTAAAATTTCACTTTACGCACTTGTGAAGAAATAGTATATTTCGGGGCGAATGCGATGGGGTTTTTTACAGGCGTGGACGGGCCAACCACGCGGGTAAAAAATTTCATGGCACTAGCCGTAAACGATATTTTTACGGAGTGAGTTTCACTATTACGAGTTTGGGGGAGGGCCCAATTCCCGAACGAAGAAAAGTGAAGGTGAGTACAAAAAATCAATCAATTCAATCGGTCCAATACGAATATAACATGAACTCAATGAGAACAGATTCCTTGACTCACTACAAAGTTAAATTGCCTACGAGGTTCAAACCATAATATAAAATAATAAACGTTGATATCTAAAACCCAAAAATAACCCGTACGACACTAAAAGTTGAAGAAAACCATTTCAAAATTTCCGATCTGTATAATATATTCGAAAGTAGTTGAAGGTTTCACTGTAATGTGAGTCAATGCAGCACACAAATTGCCGATTCTTTCCCTCCAATAAAATAAAATATGGTGTAACATTACAACCTGGGAAATCGTCCCTCCCCCCGGAACCACAACTGTGGAAAATATAGACCCCCTCCCTTTCCCCGTTAATCGCGTGACGTAATATTTGAATGTTCCCTTCGGGGGAAGTGAATAGGATGCAATGACGTTTCTGATTATTATATTTCGAAAGTGATGGGGTTAATTGTTTGCCTTGTATTCCGATCAATTAAACTCGACGATATGGCTAATTGATTAATTCGTAGAGAGGGGCGAGTGCAATCCGCATCGGATGGACGACGCTTTTCTCATCAGGTTTCTTCGGGCGCGTAATTTCAATGTCAATCGAGCTCATCGATTGGTAAGTTATTTGCAAATACACGTTTTATTATTATTACTAGTATTTACTTTCCAATACTGCTTCAGAACGCAATTTTAGAGAAAAAAAATCTTGAAAAGTTTTGATTTTCCCATGCATCCCTAATTTTTAGCACACAAAAAAACCTAAACGTAAATTACGCTTAAGACGTCATCTTTCACGCTTGAAGTTAAAGCGTCAAGCGATTATTTTTTCGTATTTTTGACAAACGTAAAAGACACTTTGCTATAAGTAAATTACATTTTAATAAATGTAAAATACGCTTTGTTCAGGCGTAATTTACGTTTTTATTTTGACCGTAGAATATGCTTTTTTAGAGCTTAAATTCCGATTTTCATTATGGAATAAAAGCCACCAGACATCATAGTGACGATAAGTGTAAATTACGTTTATCAAAACGTAATTTACATTTAGGTTTTTCTGTGTGAAGGACTTGCGACTGTCAAAATCAACGTCTGCAAAATTCTGGTATTCAGTGGCTTGATCACTAATTTTTAAAGACATCTTCACTAATTTTCAAGGACAAAATAGTCACTGAAAATGTCACTGAATCACTTTTCAGGGAGTCACCTCTACTTTTTAAGAAGTCATCACCAAATTTCAGTGATTAAGTCACTGATAATCAAGATTATTCTAGTCACTGTCCAGTATCACCAATAATTTCTGATAGATTCCTACAAATCAGTGTTACGTCTTTGGAATTAGAGTGACATGTTCCTTAAAGTAAAAATTTCGTTTCTCTGTGAGGATTCAGTAGCCAGAATTATTTTGCAAAAATAAAATAGTCACTGTATGTTACACAGTTATGATGAAAATAGCTATAAAGTTTTTTTTAATCGTTATTTTACATCGTTTCGACTCGGTTGGGGTATGCTGCGATGATGATCAAGACATGAAATGGTTAGATCTCACCATTCTACCCGGTCGGGTTTTGAATTCGGAACCTTTCGCATGTGAGGCAACGAACTTCCCCACTGCGCCAAGCCACCGGGCAGCTATAAAGTTATCATAATCACATTGAAAGAAAAAATGAAATGATGTCTCAAACTAATTTCTTGCACCAAACGACGAGACATTCCTATAATGACTGGCTGTATACAATTCTCGTCAAGTGTTCACAATTTGAAAATGAGCATTTTCCGATGAAGTGAGAATTTCTTGACTCTAGGGAGTCTTTTTTTTACATCAACTTAATGGCTCATGAATCGGAGTTTTTCGTATTTAATGAATACAGAATTCATGCGAAGCAAAACCTCCAGACATTTCTGAAATATCCGTCACTCGCTTTCAACTGCAATGAGTTTGAAAGAAACAAACTCATCTCCTCATTCTGAAGTTTTCTCGTCGTTTGAAGAAAATTATCTCATTCGGAAAAGAAAATATTAATTTTCCATTTAGTATCTTAGCGCTTCATTCCGAAGACCACCGATTGCTTGTCTGAACCCCACCCTCAGCTCAAGAAATGCCTTATTCATAGTAGTTCTTTCTTTCTCTCAGTGTCCTGAATCTTATTTTCACTACTGATTTAATCATTGTTTGTCTTATCGACTAAGTGTCGTCTTTATATATCAAGATCGCTTGATGTCTTCGATTCAGTCAGCTATCGCCACTCCGGACGATGCATCCATTTATGTCAAAATCTTTTGTCTTAATCATTAGAAGTATTATTATTACTTGACAGAATCGATAACAATGGGGAAAGAGATGCTGATCGAGGGATAAAACTAAAGCTTTGCTGACCTTTATTTGTTTGGCGAGGGATTAACATCTACTACGAACTGTTTATTTATGCTCGAGATGACCAGCTTCGATGATATTTTATGGTCCTCCATTGTAAGTCTTGTAGAAATGGAAGAATAAACATTAATCACATTATTGTAATGGAGTGGGAATTCAATCCTGTGGAATTGGTGGTGTAGATCATTGAGGAAGAACACCAAAGCTTTACCGACATTTATTTGTTTGGCCGGGGGATTAACAGCTACTTTGAACCATCTCTTACTCGTAAGGTGGTCAAATTTGATGATCTTTTATGGTCATCCATTGTTATTAATGTAGACAATAAAGTATGAGCACTGATCACATTATTGTAATGCGGTGGAAATTCAATCCTGGGGGATTGATGGCGTAGATATTGCACTCTCTGCACGTTTATGTAATGATGTATTTAGCAGGAGGCTTTTTCTGTTTCTTCGGAGAATCGTTGAGTCATGGCTTGATTGATATATCACGTCTTAATTACGAAGTCTTGTCTTGAATGGGAAAACAAATCTGCTGAGGGAAACACGTCTCGATTGAGCAGTCAGGTTTTGGTTATGCGGTAGGTCTTGTCAGGGAGCAAAGTCATGGTTATTCAAAAGTTCATGGCTTGATTAAGCTGTTGAGGCTTCAGTCAGCTTAAGGTCTTTGTTATAAAGTTGAATCTTGTTCAGAAGATGATGAACAAGACCTTGCGTCCTGACCAAACAAACGTTTCTTGACCGAAAAATTGCGTTCTGATGAGGATGCTTTCATTGAAAATTGTGTTTTGATCAACCAGTCGTGGTGTGATAGTGATGCTGTGACTAAAAATATATTGATGGCGTAGATATTGCATCCTTTGCACATTTATGAATCAATATATCTTTAGGAGGGAGCTTTTTTGTTTCTTCTGAAGAATCGTTGAGTCATGGCTTAATTGATACATCACATCTTAGTTATGAAGTCTTGAATAGGAAAACAAGTCTTCTGAGGGAAACACGTCTCGATTGAGCAGTCAACTTTTGGTTTGGCGGTAGGTCTTGTCCGGGAGCAAAGTCAGGGCTGCTTAAAAGTTCATGGCTTGATTGAACTGTCAAGTGTTCAGCCAACTCGATATCTTAGTTATAACGTTGAGTATTGTGCAAAATAGTTTTTACTCAACAATCATCGCTCCGTCAAAACTTGACATTCTGATCGAAAAAACGTTTCTTGGCCGAAAAATTGCGTTCTGATGAAATCAAGTTTTGGTCCCCTGACATGGACATGTTAGTGATTCGCTTGACTCGCTAGAAAAAAATGCTTATGAAACCTCTATTAACCATTACTGATTTTCTTTGCCTTGTAAGTAATTTCGATTTAAGATTTTCCGCTCGCAACGTCACTTTCGAACTCTTATGTGTTATGACATCATGTAAAATACCTCGCGTTATTCTACCTCTGGATAAACTATCTGTATCACATTTGAATTTATTCATCTACTAATATTTAAATCATATATTGGCTCCGGCGGTTTGACTGTGATACCAATAAATAAATAAAATAAAGTCTTGGCCAAATAATCCTGGCCTGATCAAAACATTGCGTTGTGGTAAAAAAATGTTTTAATCAACACATGTATCAGCAAAAAATAATTTCTTGATTAAACATCTTGATTTCGAATGCAGTAAAAAGTCATTTATTGCTGCCGGTACAAAATTCCCCTTTTAGTTTAATAATCCTTCTTTCCCTTCAAATTACACAATATTTTATCGGAATTAACTCAACTCAGTGTTCAATATCATTAAGTGCAGAATGTTTTCCACGGTTATAAAACTGGTGAATCGAACTGGAAGCATAAACTTGACGCGACAGAACCGTGGCATTGCGTAAGAGTGCCAAGGCGAACTGATCACTCAGCCAAATCCAACGTCGGTTATTATTATCCCCATTCTCCTAGACTCTGGTCTCCTCCTTTTGATTACAGCACCAAAATAAGTGGCTCCTAATGTCGTAGCACCCTGGGAACGTAATTAATCACGTGACAGATATTCCTGAAGCCCATAAATTCTGGTTATAATCTTTGCACTGGCTCGTCGTGGAAGTCACACTTCTTTATTTCTCTCTCGTACTTGATCAAAGTTCAGAGAAGTTTTTCATTGGTCCTCTGGATTGCGTTAGAAACTTGGTAGAGTGGATCAAAGTGCCTTCGCACAAGTGCCCACGCGTGAAAAGCATCCAGTGGTGAACAAAAAGAATGTGGCATCGTAAAAATGGCTTCAAGTGTCATTATACGAGCAGTTGAAATTTTATTACGGAATTTTTTCGTCTCACGTGCGAGACAATTTCGTTGAAAAAACTGACGGATCCGATGGAAAATTCTATTACATTTCTAAGAAACTTCTATTTGAAATTCTGCTGTTATCTTTTTCTTTTATAGACATTTTCAATAGCGAGCTCTTATGCACTGTTGTAAAAAATTGACATTGACGTTGACCTTGAATACATTTTTCAAGGAAAAACCCGTAAAATTTCAATGAAAATTCAGCGGAATTTGAACTTTTTGAATGGCAGGGAGACAAGGATTCTTCCATTTACTTGAATTTTCAAGTACAACATGAATAATTGTAATTAATCAAAAATTCAAGAATACGTTTTTGTGAATTCTATCGATTTTTATCAATTCCATAAGAATTCTATCGATTTTTCTCAATTCCATATCGATTTTGATCAATTCCATAAGAATTGATGAATAAGTTATGTAGAAAAATCGAATTCTGTTGACTACTTCTATTGAATGTTTTCTATTGAACCTGTCCATAGAATCAGCCAAAAACTAATAGAAAGTTTAATAGAAATTCAATAGAATTTTCTAACGAATTCGACAGGTTTATCTATTAATAAAAAATTAAATTAAATTAAATTAAATTAAATTAAATTTCTTCTTACGTGAATCTGTGTAGAAATATCAAAATCTATAGATTTTTTCCAATTAAGTATTTTCTATTCCTCTTTTAAAAACGTAGAAAAACTGCAGAATTATTCATGACATCGGCACAAAACTAATAAAAGTCAAATACAATCTGTGAAATATTTTTTTCTTCACGTATAGAACTCTGTTCTCACTCGACATGTTGTTATTAGATTGTCAGATACTATAACTTCAAGGAGGAGCATCCGGAGATTCATGAGAATGTCGATCCCCTCAAGATGCGTCACATTGGAGACGACGATGTCATGACAGTGCCTGGATACAGGACCGAGTGCGGACGCAGGATGATGATCTACAGGATGGGAAATTGGGATCCCAAGAAGTACGGGGTCGAGGAGATTTTTAAGGCGACTGTTATTATCCTTGAACTCGGGGCCTTGGAGCCACGCGCACAGATACTCGGGGGATTTGTGATATTCGACCTTCGTGATATCACTATGACTCATGCGTGGACTATGACCCCGCAGGTGAGTTTAGTTGGGTTTGTGATATTTTTCCAACTTCAGGTATAGGGGAGGGTATGCCTGTACCGCCCACCTAAGGGGAAATGCCAGTTTTACATTTTCTATTTCAACTTGAGTGGAAAAAATATTTTTATGTACTTCTTTGACTATTGAACTCATTATTCTCGAAGTGTAGACGTCTAATTCCCCTCAGAATCGACAAAATTAATTGAAAACAAAAGAGAGAGCCCATTGAGCGGTACTACCCACCGTCGGGTAATACCGCTCGGCACGATTCCAATGCCGCCCATAGGAAATTCCGTGTATCGTTTGCGCTGCAATCTAACCTGTAGTCGACTGCTGTCGAGTAACAACGTGGCCGATCCTATGAGCGGTATTTCCGGCTCCGCTCGGCGTCAACAAAATTGTTGATAACTATTGACGCGAGGGGAGTTTTGAGTTCGAATTGGTCTCAAATTACGCGTGAATATAACACGAATCGAATAATCATAGTTTAATATAACAATTCGGAGTTTGAAACTATCAAAAACCTTAATTACTAGTGCACCAATTTTGCACCATAAAGACCTCGAATCTTTCTTATGTGTTTTTTAATATTTAAAGTGGTAAATAGAGTGAAATTTTCTCAACAATCACATTCTATCATCAAATCCTTCGTGATCAGGAAAAGAAAAAAATTTTCGAGTTGATGGTTGTGGAGAAAATCGGGTGGGCGGTATTGCCTGCTGAGCGGTACAGGCGCACCCTCCCCTATCAATATTTCCTGGGGGTAACGGTGTCAATGAAGTAAGAAGGGTTGAGTGTCCTCGCGATGGGGAAAAAATTAATGAAATTTTAAATTAGCTTCGTTGACCGAAGCTTTTAATTAAAATTGGGGCTACGGGGCCTCGAGGTCATTAAGGCAGGAAATTAAATTGAGAATTGGAATTTTATGTCCACACGGCCACTATTTTTAACTCCATCGAATTGAATGAAAAATGTGGAAGGATTAATGTCGACGTTTTGAGGTCTAATTTCGAGAACTCATTACGCACTGAAAAAATTAAACGCTAGTTGTGTTTAGTGTCTTTTACGTTTCATTACGCCTATTTCACGCTTAATGAATTGTTAATTACGATCTTAATAGAAACGTATTTTACGATTTACTTATGCTTAGTTTACGAAAAGAATATCGTATTTTACGCGTAAGGATATCCAAGTACTTTGGCTATTTTTTCTCCAGGAAAATGCTTTTCAACTTTTGTAGTCGAACATCAGAACTTTCATTTGAGCTCCATTTAAACCTAAGTTTCTGGATATTATACAAGGATTTTGTTATTTTAATTTTGCACATCTGAATTTGAATCTCGGTATTGAACCGTTAGAAAACATTTAAAAAATCTGAAAGAAGAGAAAGTTGACTTTTGAAGCAAAATTGATAAAATTATTAAAAAATTGCAATTTTTGAAAATCATGAGCATTTTCTATCAATAATTTATAAACAATCAATTTTCCACCATAAAAATCACTTCTTCGGAATCGTAACGAATTTAGTCATATTCAGAATTTTACCAAAAATGGATTTCATGTTTAAGAAAGAAGTTTTCCGAAAGTTTAAACAATTTCAATTACTTATTTATAAACAACGAATGTAAAACAAATAATAATTCTGCGCAAAATGTAATTTAAATGACGCTGAATAGTCATGATTTTTTTGAAATTTTCCTCACGCAATTTAATTGAAAAATTTGAAAAAATTCATGACGAAAAATCATGAATTAATTGCGTGAGAAAAATTTGATGATTGAATTTATAGTGTGTTTTGTACCAAACTGTAAAAGATATTTGGATATCCTAAAAATAATTATTTTTCTTCGTAATTTACGAATAGGAAAACGTAAATTGAGATTATGTAATCGGAATTTACTGCGATTTTAACTGTGATTTTAATTTGCGTTTCAATTGAAGTGTATTTCCAAGTTTTTCTGTGTGTACATATATGTGGAGGGTAATTCCCAGATATTTTCATTTATCTGCCAACATACATAACAATGCATCAGATGATACATCAAATAACAATTGAGTGTATGGCCTCAAAATTGCGGAAAAATTAACTTGCAAAAACTCAATCTAGTATGTGTTGAAAAGACAATCAATTCCTCGGGAATGAAAATATCCATTGTCGTGAGGAGCACCCAAGTTTGAGGCCGAAACTTCGGCATTAATCTCATTATTTTTAATTTGGTTGAAGGGATTTCCTTTTCATCACAAGGCCACTCAACCCTTCGTAATTATATCAATTTTTTTTATCAGACAAATCGTAAACATGAAGGGGGAATGTTCTCAGCTCGATCAATACTCTGTAGGACGAATTTATTTTGTCTTACTGTTTTCATTTTTTTTCAATTGACATGAAACATTGAGTTGTTTTGGTGGTATTTCAATTTGAAATATTTTACTGCTTCATTTCATTAGTATTTCTTCGATTTTATGGTGGGATTTTTAATGGGAAAATGTCGTTTCCATTTTAATTCCCTGTTCATTTCACTATTTCCCATTCTATTTCGCTTTTCCAGACGAGTTTAATCTTGTGAAAAATTTTCTAATAAAAAAATCACTGTTCAACTGATATATTTTCATTCATCTTTTCCATTCATAACAGATTGCGAACATGGTGATAGCACTTATGGTGACGTCATTCCCCATGAAGACACACGCAATTCACATACTCCATCAGTCCTGGGTATTCGATGTGATATATTCAGTTTTCAAGCCACTATTAAACAAGGGAATGCAGGAACGTGTTTTCTTTCACGGAGATGACATGTCAAGCCTTCACAAGCATATCAAACCAACGAGCCTTCCCAAGATGTACGGCGGAACGAGGGAGGAATTGCCTTATTACAAGTGGATAGATTCACTCAGCAAGAAACCAAAAATCGTCAAGCCCATGCATGAAATCGGCTACATAGTCACGGATGAGCAGTTGGCGATGATTAAAAACTGGTGATTCCACGAGCTCAATTTGAATTTAATTATTCCGGTAGATTGTTTTAGTCGACTAGAAACTGGCAGATGAGTATTTTTAATCGAACAAATGAAATGAGAATTGTTTCTAGTTATTTATTAGTAGATAAATCTAAACTAAAAATAAATTTCCATATTTTTCCAACAATTTTTTAAAACAATTGTACTTTTTTGTATTTTTCTACTCAAAATTTACTGTTTTATGAAAGATTCGTGATAAAAAATATTATAGAATCGACATTCGTATTCGAATAAAATGTTTGTTTTGGGGAAATATTTTTTTTTAATGTTTAGAATATAGAAAAATATTTTTTTTACTTACAATAAATAATAGAACACCATGATGAAGTTATCTATAGAAACCCAATATTTTTGGGAATTTTTTTGTGAATTTTTTTCTCTTTAAAAATAAATTGAATGCCAATATATGATGAAAATCTCTTATTCGAGAACAATTCCCGATTGATTTCCAAGTTTAAATTGATAAAACTTATTATAAAAATGTTTGCATCCCCGAAATAAAATATGTAAGACTGGAAAATTATATTTTGAAAAAAATTGATCAAAAATAAAGAATAAAAAAAACGTGCAACAATTTCAACTCCTTCCAAATCAATTTTATTAGTCGAAATACAGAACAAATTTAAGGAATAAATCGTCCAAATTCTCATCACTCAGCACTCTTATCAAATTTACTATTTCATGTAATCATTTTTTATAGAAATATTCCTTAATTGACATTTGTATGAAAAACAAAACTTTTAAATCGTGGAAATTATTATTTTTAATATTTGCAATATTAAATCAAATTAATAATAAAATTAAATTGATAAAATTTTCAAAGTTACACTAAATAAAGGAGATGACAATAGATTCTATGAATTTTTAAAAACTGCAATAAATAGCAGAAATTACAATAAATAATAAAAGTCACTCTTTAGAATAATTTGCAATTGATTTTCCATTTTGAATTGATAAAAATTCATTATAGAAACGTTTCCACTCTCAAAATTATATTTTCAATGCTTAAAAATAGTATTTAAAAAACTGATCAAACATATGGAACGAGAAAACATGAAGCGTTTCATCTCCATGAAAGCCCTTTTTTTAATTAAAACACATAAAAAGATCTGAAGACCGAATCGGTCGGCTCCAATCTCTCCACTGAAAGAAAAAATGAGTTCTGCTGAAAAATTATCTTCTTCCCAGATCGAATATACCATATAGTTATTCTTCATAAAGAAATTCCTTAATTGATATTCCCACGGAAAAAAAACGTTTAAACCGTGAGAAAATTTTCCTAATGTTTCCAATGCAGAAATTATTTAAAAAAAATTACAATACATAACAGAAATGGCAATAAATAATAAAAATCGCGCATTCTACAAGAATTGGCAATCGATTTTCCTTATAAAAATTCAATATAAAAACGCTTGCCCCTTAAAATAATGTGTTCAACATTTAAAAATTATATTAAAAAAATTGATCAATAACAAGAAATGAAAAAAAGTGATACAGCTTCATCTCCACCAAAGCGCATTTTCAATTAAACCAGAAAAAAATCTGGGGAACGAATCGAACCAGTTCTCATCACTGGGCTCTCTCATCCCGCGAATGGAGTGCACAGTCTCTCATGTGATAGACCCCAGGTCGATTATCGATCTGTCATCGAGCCTTTCCCCCTCTCCAAAGAGAGGAAAAGTGGTAAGAAAGAACCGCGATGCGAAGAAAGAGGAGCAAGATGAGAGTGGAAAGTCTGCCTCCTTCGCATTTGCTCCACTGGCTCCACTCCAATTATTTTCCACGATCCACTCGAGCCACCGCCAGATACTCTAGTCACCGCTGGTGACACACACACACACACCCACACATACACACGTGCACACGTTTGGCTTACTCTTGATAAACTAGAGCCGGCCCACTCCCTTCGTTGAGTGGCCTCGAGCTCCCCTCGCACAGAGAAACGTTTTAGCTTTTCTAAATGAACCGCCTGATCTCTGACGCTTACCTCCATAAGCCTTTCTGTATAATTCCCCACTCACCCCTCAAATGGCAAACATCCTACCAATTATCTTCGCTAATTTCCCCTGAATCTTCTCAAGGCGGCGCGAAAAAAAAGCGATAAAAAACGAAGAATTTATGGGGAGTTATTATCGACGAAAAATTTATGTGGAGTTATTATCAACGAAAAATTTATTGAGAAAAACGAGATGATTATCTGTTCGCGTGGATGAAGTACTTGGAGGAATCGCGTGTTTGAAAAAATGGGGGGGGAATTATTCAACATGTTTGATATCAGCCCTCGAATTTAAATCAGAGGGTATGAGCATGAGAAAGTTACGGAGGCGTCGGAGCGTCTTGAATTCCTCCTGGCGAGCCGCCCCGAAGGTCGAGTGTGTCACTGGAGACTGTATGTCGAGCGGAGGGAGAGTTGTGTGAAAATAGCTGTGATGAGTGATCACAAAATTTTTAAATGCAGCATTTTAAGACACAATGCACGACAACAAATTTATTTGAAGGGAATAGGAAACTTGCGTGGACTTCAGTTTTCCCTAATTTCCATTTTTTAATTATAATTTTTCCCCATTTGCCCATTTTAAAATAAATTGATTTTATAATAATAGACATTTTATAATAATGGACTAGGGGACTACGGCCCCTGCTCGCTCCCCCTGAGCGTCATGATCTTTATTCTAACCCTTGTGACCCGTAATCTAACCCTCGTGACCCTTATTTTGACCCTTAATTTTGGAGTCTTAATTTCGAGCACCAAATTTTCATCACCAATAGTCGATTTGGATTTTTTCACTATAGAGAGATATTCAGACCCTTATTTTGACCCTTAATTTTGGAGTCTTAATTTCGAGCACCAAATTTTCATCACCAATAGTCGATTTGGATTTTTTCACTATAGAGAGATATTCAGACCCTTATTTTGACCCTTGTGACCTTTAATCTGGCCCTTGTGATCCTCATTTGGATCTTTAATCTGACCCTCATTATAACCCTCGCGAATCTTATTTTGACTCTGGTGACACTTAGTTTTCGACCTTTGGTTTTTAACCCCCATGTCCCTTATTTGGACCCTTACTCTGATCCTTGTGACCCTTAATTTAATCCTTGACATTTATTTAAACCCTTAATCTGACTCTTGTTACCCTTATTTCGGCCCTCAATCTTACCGTTGTGACCCTTAATCTTGCGACTGAAGTTACTGACTCTTAATAAATAAATAATCCAGTGAGATGAAGGATTGAAATAATGCTTTCACATTTCCATTTGAAAGTCCTCACCACCTAGGTAATAATTCATAATTTAACCCTTTGAAAAATTTCTCGCCGGTTGATTCGGCCTTTCACATTTGTTCTCTGCCGGTAAAGAACCCCTCATCCCTGGACTCTTTCTTGTAAAGGGAGAAATGGAAATTACGAGTTCATGTAAGTTCTCTATTTTTTTTAACAGAAATTTTGCCAAATATTATTAATACGACTCCCCTGGTAGGGGAGGAAGAATGGGCGAGGGTGGGCCAGCTTCGGCCGATCTTGGCCCATTCTTCATCTCCTACCAGGGTCACAGAAAAAAATTCGGTGTTGATTCTGACACCGTATTGGTATCCCAGAAAGTCCACATGGTTCGCGGTGTACATCACTAGGGAGTTAAAAATATGTTGAGAAGAATAAGTTCGGTGTTATCGCTAACATCGAGAAGGTGTAACGAGTAACACTGCATTGAGTGAATGATAACACAGACTCTGTGTAGTTGCCACTGAATAGTGTAAAATTCATATTGACACTATGAGATAAAAAATGAAACTTCATGGACTGTTGACTACCAATTTTTAGGACAGTGAAATTCAGGAAAATTCCAGAATTTTAAACAGCATAAAAACGAAACTTCCTTAATTTATTTGAATTTCTAATATAATATGAATATTCAGTGCCCAATTACATTAAATTTTCAGTGAAATCTGAAATCAGTAACCAAGCAGTAAACAGGGTTAAATCGATTGTGACTTTTGGTCAGTTTTTGATGAATATCTTAGAATCTAAGAGAGATAGAAAAATTTTTGTCAGGACCTTTCTTATAGCCCTCAATTGATCCTAAAAAAATGTCATAACAAAAATTTTTCTATCTCCTTTAGATTCCGAGATATTCATCAAAAACTAGCCAATAGTCAAAATCGACTTAAGCGGGTTTATCACTTCACCCCTGAAATTTCATGATTTTTTCCCCCTAAATTCAGTGTCACTGTCCTGAAAATTTAATCATATATTTACCAGAATTTCCTGGTTTTCTGTTCAGTTTTAGGAAAAAATAGGATTGAAATTTACAGTTCTTGGATTTGTCCACGAAATTCTGAATTTTCAATGTCGAAATTCCTTGAAACTTCAGTGTTAATTAACTTCGCCGAAAATTTCCGAAAAGTGTAGCAGAAAATTCCGGCAACAATATTCAACAGTGTCGCACAATTCCAAAGTTTGCACTCGGCACGCAACGCCAAAGGTGTCCATTGTACCCTACCCTCCCCTCCTGCAAAAATCTCCCAAAGAGCTATTTCGCCCCGTCCCCCGAACCCTTTCCCACCCCGTCCCCGCCGCTAAAAATCGAGGTAACTGATAAGAGCCCGTGGGATAAGACCCCAAGCCTCCGAGAATCTCCTCCCCCCGCCCCCTCGCACTTGTTCCACCCCACCCCCTTTCTCTCTCAATCCAACTCGTAAACCTGTGTTGGTGCTGCCCCTAGAGATGTGTTGGTGGTTGATATCGACCCGGGGTGGCCAGTGAGTTGCATGGCGCAAGCCTGGAACAAGGGAAACACTCGGGCCGAGGGGACGATGTTGGCGGCGCCGTAGGCGAAGAGCGGTGAACGAGGAAGCGGTGGATAGGAAACTGGTAGTAACCCGGCCAGTCCCCCGCGCGCGGGCGGTGCATACGAGCCAGGACCCGGTGTGGACGGGTCTGAGCATTCCTTAAAAGCCGCATTTTACTTTTCCTTAACGCAGCTGATCCATTCATACCATAATAAAATCCAGTGGAGTTGACTAAAGCGAAATACCAAAAGAAAAGCCCGAACTAAATCCACGAATAAATCGTTACGACTTTTGTGTTTGTGACAACTGTTCAATTCCATTAATCTCAAACCCCACGACTTCAGGTCCACCTTAATCTAGTGATTGTTATATTATTTAAATTCTTGTGCTTGTGAATAAAAATCATCACTTAAATATGTGATGGTATTAGTGTGGCATTAAAAAACGAAGAAGTTGCCCCCCGAATCTGCGGTTCACCCACTGAAAATACGAAGAAAATGGGAGGAAAGATGAAACGACAATTCTACAGTATCAGAGCGTGTAATTTTGGATTGATAAACCCTCGAGGGAGTGAAAAGGACAGCAAAGGGGAGTTCCAAGGTCAACTGACAATGCCTCTGGATTTAAACCAGCGTTATCGTTTGTGCTGAGTGACGGAGAGAGAGAGAAAAATTGTAGAAAGTGACGGTGGGATTGATAATAATCTCGGAAGACAGTTAATCATGTCACAGAGACTGATGATACCGAACGAGGATTCGTACCTGAAGTCAGGACGACCGTCGAATCTCTTCAAAACGAGTTTCTCGTGTCCCCAGTTGGAGCGATTGTATCGCTCCTCGTCTTTGCAGCAGAAGCGCGGGGGTCTTCACTGTTTTATAGTGTACGCAATTCTGTATGATATTTACATGCTGCTGTCACCGGAGCCGGAGCTGCAGGCGCGGGGAGTTGTTGCGGTGTTTCTTGGGTTGAATCTTGGACTATTGGCCCTTGCGGAGAGGGGCACGAGGGGCAGGGATACACTCTGGTCCACTCTGCCACACATGGCGTGGCACCTGACACTCGCGCAATTGCTGGCACAACTTTTTTTGAAGGCCGATGTGACACCCAGGGATAGTCTGGGGTGGCTTTTACTCATGGTTTATCTACTGTTTGCTACGCTACCGCTGAGGCTACTGCTTTGCGCGTTACTTGCCCTTGGGACTGTCACTACTTATGTCGTGGCGGTGGTCGGACTTGGGAAGAATCCGTTTCAGCCGCCGATCGAAGTCCTGGTAGGTGGATTTGGGAGGAAATGGAGGAGACAAGTGATTTCAGGCACTCGATTAGTCATTTTCAGGAGACGGACAGTGAAGGCGGCTTAAGGGGAGACTACTAGGAGTTTTGAAAGCCGCGGGCTATTGGAGTGAGATTAAGAATACATTGAAGAGCGATTATGTATGGCTAAAAACGAATAACTAGGGCAAAAAAATTGATTGTTTTGCGACGTGGGATTAATTGCTTTGTACGCGTCACAGTTTATTCTTCGTTTACCCCGCAAATGCTCAAAATACTGAAAATAATGCAGGGCCTCCAGTATTTGAGACAAAGAGATTTTTTTTTCTCAAAATTTTTGAAAAAATGTGTGCAATAACAATTATGAATTAGGCTTTTTAAATTCAATCCCTACACAGTTAATCTCGTTATTTTTTTTTGTAAAAAAATGCATCAGTCGTGTAAAATAGCCTGAAAAATGTTGCTGAACGAATCGAGAATATATTTTCAATATTTTAAGGGATAATTTTTCTGATTATTTTACGTGAATGGCGAAAAATTTTATATTAAATAAAACGAAATTAGCTATGTAGGATTCGAATTGCAAAAAAAAATTGGTAATTGTTGTTGTACATTTTTTCAAAAATTTTGCTAAGAAAAACCTTCTGCAGCTGAAAAATTGGAGACGATAGAGTATTTTTAATTTTCGAGGCGTCTGCGGGGCAAACCAACAATAAATAATGAATTTTTTTGCAATAATTATTCATTTTTAGAAATATACAATAGTCAATCATCAATGCATGAGCAATCTCATTAAAACTCATAGTGGTCTCCCTTTAAGGGAGAAAAATCTTAAAAATTCAAGGAAATTAAAAAGTTTTGAACAGTACTTAGATGAGAATTCCTCAAGCTATTTGAGTTTTTTGTGAGATTATGAATAGTCAGTGCGGAATTATGATAAGTTTTTAATTTATTGAAAATTCAAGAATATATTTAGGCTTGATCATTATGTAAAAAATTATGAAGAACAATCAAACGTTAATTAGCGTATTTAGAGTTAAGGAAAAGTTATAATTTTTAGGGATTTGAGGCACTCTAAAATTTAACGGGCAAACAGAGAAACAGAGAAACAGAGAAATTATTGTGTATGGTAGAAATTAACTCAAAATAATGTGATTTTGATTTTTCATTGTTTAATTTTCGTGAAATTTCTCATAGATATCCCGTGTAATAAAATCACAAATGAACGAGTTCGACTAGACTTTCAAGAGAAAATCTGAATGCTACAAATGAAACAGATTAAAACTCTTGCAATTCTAAATTAATCTCGATGAAATTCTGAAATGGAATTCGAACACCAGAGCATGAATTTCTGGAATTTAAAACTCTTCTCTTTATTTCATAAACTTTCAAATGAACTCATGTGGAATGGAAATATTCCACTCCAATCGAGGAGTATTAAATTCAATGTAAAAGTCAAAATGGCGAGAGCTGCTCCATCTTCAAGCAGAACCATTACAATACACCTCAGTTTTTTTACCGTTTCCCTCTCCCCTCATGCATACATGCTTATATCACAACTAGAAAATTTACACAACTTTGTTAGAAATTCTCAATGTTGTGAGTTTGAATTTAATTCAAAGGAAAATGTTCATTAAGTTTCTCATTTATTTTGAAAATTCAAGAAAATTGGGGTTTTCCTGTTAAGCGATCATTGATATTTCAATTGAATTATCAAAAAGCTTGAATTTTCAAACTCATTGCGAAAATTCAACACTAGATGCAATTGAATTTTTAATATATTAAGAACCTAGAAAAGTTATTACCTGACTTTTCCCAATTTTGAACATTTTCGAGTGTCTTATCAACCTGGAAATCGAGAATTACATGAATATTCAAGAAATGAACTGCTTCGTCATTGAAGAAACATACAGTAATTTCACGCAACTTTGTCGTTGTTAAAAATTTCAAGCATTTTCACTTGAAATTTCAACCGTAATTTTCAAACACTGAATTATATCTAACTGCAATCAACTAAAAATACCGTGATATTTATTTTTCATTGTGTAAATTTCATGAGATTTTTCATAAATATCCCGTGAAAAAAATCGCTACTAAAATAGTAGCATTCCTAGAATTCCTAAAATAAACATTTTCCTAATTTTTATTTTAAATCGGAAATTCGCAAATTAGGAAATTGCCAACCTTTACACGAAATTTATACTCTTTATTTTAAAAACCTCCACATTAACTAATGTAGAATAGAGTCATTTCATTGTAAAAAAATCACGAGTAAAATAGTTGTTAAAATCACTTCTAGCACTTCTAAGAAAAAATTAGAAATTCACAAATTAGGAAATTGCCAACCTTTGCGCGAAATTTATCCTCTTTATTTTAAAAACCTCAGCATTAACTCATGTAGAATAGAATCATTTCATTGTAAAAAAAATGACTAGTAACATAGTTATTAAAATCACTACTAGCATTCCTAAGAAAAAATCACAAATTCGTAAATTAGAAAATTGCCAATCGTTGCAGGAAATTTATACTCTTTATTTTAAGCACCTCAATATTAACTAATGTAGAATAGAATCATTTCATTGTAAAAAAAGGACTAGTAAAATAGTTATTAAAATCACGACTACACGGAGAGAAATTTTTGATAAAAATTATCCTACCGTTCTATAAAAGTGTATCATGAGTCATCGTTTCCTCATTTCTATCCCGAAATTTAGTAAAAATTAATATATGATGATCAAATTTTATTCTACGTTAGAGAAATTTTATCCTGATAAAAATAAAAATTACTGTGCCGGTAGAGTAAAAATTACTGTACCGGTGGGATAAAATTTACCAAACGTTCTAGAATATTCGTTGTTATCTACATAAAAATTATTGGACTGGAAGGGTAAAATTTATTGTGCATCAGGATAAAATTTCTCTAACGTAGAATAAAATTTGATCATCATATATTAATTTTTACTAAATTTCAGGATAGAAATGAGGAAACGATGACTCATGATACATTTTTATAGAACGGTAGGATAATTTTTATCAAAAATTTCTCTCCGTGTAGCATTCCTAACTAAAAATCGAAAATTCGCAAATTAGGAAATTGCCAACGTTTGCACGAAATTTATCCTCTTTATTTTAAAACCCTGAAAATGAACTCATATAGAATAGAATTATTCCATTATAACAGAGGACTATTAAACTCGATGTAAAAAAAACAAAATTGCGAAAAATGGTAAAAGCTGCTTCAACTTTGAACAGAATGATTACAAACCTCAGTTTTGTTACCATTTCCCTCTTCCCTCATTTATTCATACTCACTGTTCTCTGGTTGTGGAAAACTTCCGCCTCGGCTTTTTGAGGGTGTCTCACATGAATGAGGTTTCCTTTTTCTTTTAGTATGAATAGCCTGGACACTTTTGCTGATTTCCACACTCCCCACAACACAAAGTCCAAAGTTCAAATGCTTTTATTCTCGTGTCCTTGAACAACAAGAGATGGAAAAGAAGTATCAAAAGTTTTGATAAAACTTTAACAATTGTTGTTGATGTGAACAATCGTTCGACGCTTGTTTTTCCCTCACCCTCCCAAATTTGTAAACCGAATCGAGGAGTTTGGATAAGAATACAATCCGGAGTTGGACGTTAATCCACGGGTGTCACTTACCCCTGGGAAATAAGGGAGCTAGGATCCGATAGAGGATTTATTGGGTTCAGGAATAGAATCCAAAAATTCTCGGGTCTAGGATAGATATTGAACGAACTAAGCCTTTTCGGGGATGACAACTATTTTTGGTGTGATTGTGTTTTCATTGAGGGGGTAGAAGGATGAGAGAAGTTTCGCTGTGAGAATTTTCTCCGGAACTTATAAAACATGCGTAAAATAATTGCGCACAAAAACCTTGCGAATTCCAATTACTGAGGTACGAGTCTATTATATTGATTATTTTTCCCAATCGGATTTCGACCAATCAGAGCGCAGTATTTGAGGCTCCCCGACAGTTTTATTTCGGATATTTCCTCCTAGCTTTTGAATATTTCGCAGTAGTTTTTCATTTTTTTACCTGATTATTTTTCCAACCCAAATACCGGGCAATATAATTGGTCCATTCGACATCACGTGGTACAAGCTACAGGGTTTTCAACTGATAATTTTTTGATAATTTTCTCTGGTAGTTGCTATATAAAAAACAAACTATCATGCAGTCGAATTAACCCCTCGTCAAACTGACAGATTGAATTCAATTGTGGTAATCCGAGGATTTTTATTCGAAATGAGTGTTAATTATACAATTTTCGTTTCTCAATTGTGAGTTTCGTCTCATGGTCCAATTATATTGCCCGACATTTGGATTGGAAAAATAATCCCCCGAATACCACACTAGCTTCAAAATTAATCGAGCATTTTCCTCAAGGTTTCCTGCATACAAACAAAGTCGTCAAGTTTTTCAGGATAAATCATGAAAAACTAAATCAGATTCTATCATTTTCAATTACCAAAGTTGTCAATTAAATTAAATTAAATTATATCATGAATATTCAGTGTCATTCACATTACCTGTTGGGCACAATTATTATTTTTTTCAACATTTGTTGTTTATAAATAAATAATTAAAATTGTTCAAACTTTCGGAAATCTTATTTTTTAGGCGTAAAATCGATTTTTGGTAAAATTATCAATATGAATAAGTTTGTTACAATGGCAAACAAATGATTTTTTTGGTGGAAAATTGATTGTTTATAAATTATTTGTAGAAAATGTTCGTTATTTTCCAAAATTGCAATTTTTAAATTACTTCATCAATCTTTTTCCATAAGCAAATTTTCTAATTATTTTCAGATTTTTAAAATGTTATCTAACGATGCAAAGTTTAAATAATAAAATCATTGTAAATGTCCGAAAACTTAGAGTTAAATGGGGCTCAAACGAAAGCTCCGATATTCGACTACACAAGTAGAAAACGATGTCAATGGAGAAAAAAAAGCCAAAGCTTGGATATCCTTAAATAAAAAATCCCTAAACTGGAATTTTACTTCACGATCACTCGACTTTTTCTAGTAATTATTCCTCAACATTTTTCTCCCTGTATTGACTTTCCGCCATTCAATATTCCGCTATTGAATGTTCTTATTGATCAATCCACAGAAAACTAATGGAATTTCCAATGGAATCATCTAGCAAACGCGGTAGGATATTTCGTTCAATTTTTTCACACGTGAAACCTCCGAATTTATCACCACCGAGGGTAAAAATCCCGCTGTGACCCTTGACGTGTTTTCCCTCCCGGTAATTTTGGTCAATGAAACGCCACTAATCCGACTCGATAGCAGCCCGTTCGAGCGTTTCAGAGACGGCCGCGGAAGCGAAATGACGCCTCTAACCGGCATACACGTGCACAAGAGTTCGTTAGTTACACTCGAGTGAAGTATGGTGAATGGTTAGTTTAAAATAGAGTATATATCGAGCCAACTCAGTGTGATGTAACGAGCATAACGCATGTTACGTACTCGATTACTCGGTAATTTTCCGGATTTAATTAAATACGTGGGATGAACTCATTAATAATCATTCATGGGATGTACCGTGTCGAGTCGTTCGATCATTCATCGGGAATTTATTATCAACATTATGTTCCAGAACTAACTGCATTGACTGAATCATAACTCTGCAGGGAAAAAGCTCTCATGCTTTGAAATATTTTTGTATTTAAGTATGACTTTGTCGCAGATGAAGTCACACAAATCGCGTAGAAGGATCGTCAATCTTCAAGTATTTATTGGTTTCATGATTTTTTTAAGCACTTCCAATGTTTCTATTCGTAATATTTTCATGATGTAACGCGGAACGATAGTGATAAATGAGAAGTTATTCGGGTTCCGTGAAGGGCAAACTTTCAGAGATTTAAGCCATTGAAAATAATTTATTTATCTCAAGTAAATATGGTCTACACTGTTAAGAATTTTCTAATAATTTCTAAGGAGTTACATTTCCACTGAAATTTGAAGGGAAATTTCAGTTTAATTATTCCGAGGAAAGTAATTAAAAATCAGGAAAATTTAGAGAATTTTTTCCTTCAGTTCCAAATTTCTCTGAATTCCTATTCCGCTTTCAGGGAAATCCTTCAAAAATTCTTCGAATTCCAAGTGAATATTCATTTCCACTAGAAAATTCGTGTAAATTCTAGAAATTCCTTTTTCCTGCCGCTAAAAAATGCGTTTGTACTTGAATTTTCACAGAAACTTGAAATTCCATTCCGTTTTTTCTCTTAAATTCTTGATTTTTCAGTTCAATTATTCCCTAAAAATTAAATTTAATTCTTAATAAACTCAAATTTCGGGACAGAAATGAGGGAAAGATGACTCATGATACACTCTTATAGGACGGTAGGATAATTTTTACCAAAAATTTCTCTCCATGTGTCAAAAGAAATTTTCTCTCTCAGTGCAGCGTAAAAACCAGTGGAAAATAATTTAAAAATTTTCACTTCTAGGCGATAACAGGATCCCTATCGCTGGCAGCAGCAGTCCTGGGTGCTTCGAGTTACTCCCTAGCGGAGTACCAGCAGCGTCGCGCCTTCCTGGAGACCCGTCAATGTCTCCAAGCGCAGCTAGTAATCGAGGAGCAATCAGCGGAGCAGGAGCGCCTGCTCCTGAGTGTTCTCCCCGAGCACGTGGCAGTGAAAATGCGCCAGGACCTGGGCGCCTCGATGGACACCCAATTCAAAAAGATCTACATGTCGAGACACGAGAACGTCTCCATCCTCTACGCTGATATCGTCGGTTTCACCGCCATCTCATCAACCTACAGCGCCAGCGAGCTCGTCAAGATTCTAAACGAGCTTTTTGCACGCTTCGATCGACTCAGCGAATGGTAAATACCCGTATCATCGGGGCCAACTACCACAACTGCCAGACCCACCCACACAAGTGCTAAAACCCCGCAGAATTTTCTCCCTCCCCTGACTCATGCATTCTTCCGGGCTTTTCTTGTTCTTTTTGTCTTATCGATCGATTACGCTGATTCTCTTGCTGGGTAGCAATGTATGCGGGAGAATACGCTGGAATGAAATATGCGCCTCCCGGGGTTATTCTGTTTCTCCTCCTCGGACGAAATTTTCCGAAGACGTGGGGAGGGAGGGCAACGGGAATAAAACGAAATATCGAAGGCAATAAATAACAATAGGGAGGTGAATGGATATTTCGCTTTATTCTCCTCCTCCACTTGAATTTTTTGAACACGTGCAATGGCGAGGAAACAAGCATTAATATTTCTTTTTGGATAAACACTTTATCCTCTCTCTACCCCTTGAAGCTTCTAAAAACGGTGGAAAATATTGAGGGACATAAATAAGAAAAGGGAAGTGAACATTCCGTTGTAGCCAGCAATGCTCGCATTCCGTTTGAGTGCGTTGGTTCGTAGAGAAATTCCTATCAAAATAGAAATTAACGGAAAGAAATGTTTATGAAAATCCATAGAATCTGAATTTTTCAAAGACGTGCGGTAGTTCAGAAACGGGGATGAAACTAAATATTAAAGGCAATAAATAACAATAGATGAAGGGAAATTGCACTTTATGCTCCTCCACTTGAATTTTTTAAACACGTGCAATGGCGAGGAAACAAGCATTAATGTTTCTTTTTGGATAAACACTTTATCCTCTCTCTACCCCTTGAAGCTTCTAAAAACGGTGGAAAATATTGAGGGACATAAATAAGAAAAGGGAAGTGAACATTCCGTTGTAGCCAGCAATGCTCGCATTCCGTTTGAGTGCGTTGGTTCGTAGAGAAATGCCTATCAAAATAGAAATTAACGGAATGAAATTTTTATGAAAATCCATAAAATCTGAATTTTTCAAAGTGCGTTGGTTCAAAGTAGATAGAAATGATTGCGAGCCGGCAGAGTTCGTATCAATGAACGGAGAGAAACTCCTGTTAAAATTCATAATTAAAAATTTCCGAAGACGTGAGATAGAAAGGAAAACGGGGATAAAGCTAAAGATTCAAGGCAATAAATAACGATAGGGAGACGAATGGATATTCCGTTTTATTCTCCTCCAGCATAAATATCTTTTTGAACAAACACTTTGTCCTCTCCCTCGTCCACTTGAATCTTCTAAAAACGGAAAAATATTGAGGGACATAAATAACGAGAGGGGACTGAACGTTTAGTTGTATTCGCCTCCTCTCCCGGGACTTTTGAACACGTGAAAGCGTATTAGGAATGAAATCAGAATTAGGGTTCACCAGCTCCGCTCGGGAGAGTTTGTACCAATAAATGAAAACAAGGGGATAAAACTAAATATTGAAGGCAATAAACAATATTAGGGGAATAGATATTCCGCTTTATTCTCCTCTACTTGAATTTTTCAAACACTTGGAAGAGCGAGAAAATAACCGTAAATCTTTCTTTTTAAATAAACATTCTATCCTCTCCCTCTTCCCCTTCAATCTTCCAAAAACGGAGAAAAATATTGAGAGACATAAATAACAAGAGGGGACTGAACATTCCGTTGTAATTTTCTCCTCCCCTCGAATTTTTGAATAGTTGAAAGCATATGAAATCAGAACTAGCGTTCGCCAGCTCCATTCGCACCCTGTTTGGGTGCATTGGTTCAAGTAGATCGAAACGATTACGAGCCGGCAGAGTTTGTACCAATAAATGAAAACAAGAGACTAAACCTACATATTGCAGGCAATAAATGACAGTAGATGAATTTCTATTCCGCTTTATTCTCCTCCTCCACTAAAATAAAACTAAATAATAAAACTCAATGTTGAAGGCAGTAAATAATATTATATGAATGAATATTCCACTTTATTCTCCTCTACTTGAATTTTTTAAACACGTGAAATAGCGAGGAAACAAGCATAAATATTTCGGTTTGGATAAACACTTCATGCTCTCCCTCTTCCCTTCAAATTTTATAAAAACCGAGGAAAATATTGAGGGACATAAATAACAAGAGGGGACTGAACATTCCGTTGTATTCTTCTCCTCCCCTCGAATTTCTTGAACAGGTGAGAGCATATGAAATCAGACCTAGGGTTCGCCAGCTCCACTCGCACCCCGTTTGGCTGCGTTGGTTCAAAGTAGAATGAAACGATTACGAACCGACAGCATTCGCACCGATAAACGGATAGAAATTCCTATTAAAGTCCACCCATGGGTTCTAGTAATTGTAGAGGATACGATTGCGCCGCACACAGACACAAATATCGACATTTTGTTGACAACTACCCCAAAACATTGTGGAGACTTTGAAATAAGACGACATCACCAAAAATCGACATTGTTTTTCGGTGTGAACACACTGAGAAAAATTTTATAGAAAAATTCATGTGCTAACAAGTGTGGACCATAAACGAGTCACAACTTGCACACTTGCAAAAATTATTTTGTAGCCCCAGAAAAATTGTCCCTGAACCCTTGAAATGACGAAGGAAACAAAAGTCGCACGAAATATTGATCCAAATCACTAAATATTATGTTCTAAATTCATTTTTCATTTTCCTACGCCTTCCACTTCGCTTCTCGCCCCTCATGAATTCTTTAAACCCTTGGACTAGTGAAATAAACAAAAGTAGAACGAAATATTAACTGGAATAAATAAATATTTCGTTTCATTCTAGTCCTGTCCGACCTAATAATGAAGGAAAAATATAAATGAGCCGAGATATCTTGAGGAGAATAATAAGAAAAGGGAAGCGAATAGATGATTCGCTGTACCCTTTTATTTTTTCTCTTCTTCTTGAATATTCAAAGAAATTAGGACAGTGGAGGGAATAAAAATAAAACGAATATTGAATCAAGTAAATAAATCTTCTAAATAAATTTTTTCTCATGTTCCACTTCTCTTCTCCCGCTTGAATTCTTGAACATTGGAATAGTGAAGGAAACGAAATTAGAACGCAATCTTAACTGGAATAAATAAATATTTGTTTATAAACAAATTTGCAGGCCATAGGAAATAATGAAGGAAAAATACAGATAAAACAATCTATCTTGAGGAAAATGATGAGAAAAGGGTAATACACGTATTCTCCTTCTTGAATATTCAATGACATTGGGATAGTAGAAGGAACACAAATGAAATGAATATTGATTGAAGTAAATAGATATGCTCTAAATAAATTTGCTCTCCTGTTCCCTCCGCTTCTCTTCTCTCTGTTGAATTCTTGAATATTGGAATAGTGAAGGAAACGAAATTAGAACGCAATCTTAACTGAAATAAATAAATATTTGTTTCTAAAGCAATTTCCATGCCATAGGAAATTATGAAGGAAAAATACAAGTAAAAAAAGCGATCTTGAGGGAAATTATGAGAAAAGGGAAATACACATATTCTCCTTCTTGAATACTCAAAGACATTGGGATAGTAGAGGGAACAAAAATGAAACGAATATTGATTGAAGGAAATGAATGTTCTAAATAAATTTGTTCTCCTATTCCTTCCACTTCTCTTCTCACTCTTGAATTCTTGAATATTGGAATAGTGAAGGAAACGAAATTAGAACGCAATCTCAACTGAAATAAATAAATATTTGTTTCTAAAGCAATTTGCATGCCACAGGAAATGATGAAGGAAAAATACAAATAAAACGAGATATCTTGAGGGAAATGATGAGAAAAGGGAAACGAATAGATATTTCGTTATATGTCCCTTGTTTGTCTATTTTTCTTTCTGAATGTTCACAAAAACTTATAACAGTAGCAGAAACGAAAATAGAACGAAATATTGATTAAAATAAATACATGTTTTACACAAATATTTAGTCCTCGTACTCCCTTCACTTCTCCTCTTCCTCCACTTGAACTTTCTGAACGGAGTAATAAAAAAAACAGAAATAGCCCGAAATATTGATGAAAATAAATCAATATTCCGCGTCATTTTTTTTTCTTTGCGATCTCTGAAATTTACTAAATACGAGAAATAGTGAAGGGAACGAAAATAAAACAACCTGTTGAGGAAAATAAGGGAGAAAGAGGAAATTAATAAGTATTCCGTTATTTTAGTCTTCTTCGTCCTCTTGGGCTTACTAGACATGTGAAATAACCGAGGGAAAATACAAATAAAACCAGATATTGAGATATTGAGGAAAATAAATACGAAATGGGAAATAGATATTACGTTGTATCCTTTTTATTTCCCTTCTGCTCTTCCTCCTTTGCGACATTCTAAATCCCTATATATTGACGGTAATAAATAAGTAAATAAAAAGATAGTTAAATAAATGAATAAATCAATGAATAAATAACTAATTAACATAATTACAATCCGATAAAATCTTTAAGCTCCGATTCTTCATTTCTGTCATTTCTTCATTCTATCAAAAGACAAGGATAGGAATTGACTTTATGAGTATTCTTTCATTATTCAGAAAAAAATCGATTAAAAAAATTTTCAAGAATACATGGAGAAATTTTGATATTACCCGAATGAGCTTTCGAATGATTTTTCTTTTGTGTGGTTTCTTTTGATTACAAAAAAAAGTTTTTATTGATCTTTAACATAATTCCTCTTTATTCAATGTTGTAACATGTGAATTAAGGAAAAAAATATATAATAAAAATGTATAAAATTAAATTAATCTAATTGTGAAGACGGAAATGAAGAGAAACAGAATAGTATAAAATAATCTAGCGCCGTTCGGTAGTAAATAATTAAATGAATAAATATTTTGCTCAATTTTTTCCTCTCTGACCTCCAAAATTTACTAATTACTTGAAACAGTGAAGAATAAAACGAGGATAAAAAACAAGGTCAAAGCGAAATATCGAGGGAAATAAAATACTGGTAAGCGTTGAGGTGCGGAATTCGATTCAGTGGATAGGTGGGAGGACAATGGGCGAGGGTGGGAGTGAAGGTGACAGAGATACTCGATCAGGGATTCCGGGCAGTAGTGGAATGCCGTGTTGCATTCTGGAAGTCAAATTAGGGGGTAAAGGGCGAATGCGAATCCTCGGTAAGAACGGTGGATTTTCGATGCGACTGAAGACTGTTTTGATGGAGTTTTCGGGAAGCGAAAGGTCCGGAATTTATCACGGAAGGGG